TACTTATAGTACGCACCGTACGTAGTACGCGTAGTGTGCGTACTTCAAGCGTGCGGTCTCTTAATTGGGACACAGCCTTAGTCCTTGTTTTTGCATTCATTTCTCGTCACATTGTCCGTGTTTCCACGCTCCAGGTCTCATCATAGTCTTCATAACTATCATTGTCTTTATAGTTATCATCGTGGATTCATAGTTATCACAGTTTAAGTCACAGTTATCTTAGGTAGTTTCTCTCAGTTTAGATTTCAGTCTAGTTTACGTCACTGTTCAAGTTGTGTTGTTTTTTCATTCTAGTCAGCAGCCCAAATAAAGCTCGCTTTTTGTTCGGATTAATTCTGTCTCCTCGTCTGTGTCCGGACCTGGGTCCTCCACTCACATTCCACACGGTCTGCGCCCAAACACGGTGACACATATAATTAAACACATATTCAGTGTTTAACAATTAAAACAATACTATTTTTCTGATTAGGGATTATGTGTATGATGAGTTGACAACACCTTCTTGACAAGGTTCTTTCAATGGCGCAGACCAGGTATTCCTTGGGCAAAAGACAGTGCATTTATTTACAGTGAAAAAAAACAAGTGAATATGTACAAAGTGCCAGGGGAAAGGGGTCTGGGTATCCAGGGTAGGGAGGTAGGGAAGAAGTGTTCCACTTTTTCTTCACAAAAATCCAATTCCTCTCCTCAGCCACTCCTCTCGTTCATCTGTTCAATACAAAGCCAAACATGTTCAGGAATGATCTACACACACAAAAAAGTCAGGTTAGCAGAAAGTAACAAAACCCACAGATTCAGATCTTGGATCCAGCAAAGACTAGCGTAGGTCCGCCATCTTAAGAAGTGTCGCAATCTGCTTGAATGAGCAACAGGTGTGGTGATAAGAGCAGGTGCATGGGCCAGCAGTGGGAGCCCGCTGTCATTGGCTGGGTCGTGTGACCCAGTGTTTGAGTTTTATGTAGTTTTGTATCCATTTTTGATCTAGTTAATTTCTAGGTGGCTATTTA